CGGGAACGCAGCCACTTCCAATCCCTGCGACTTGTATTTATCAAGAAGTTCTTTGAATTGCGTGTAATTCGAGTTTGTCAGACCACATTGAGATGCGACGTTTACAATGATGAGGACTTTCCCTCTAAAAGATATTGATGAGAAGAGCGAAGTACACTAGCGAAATTTGCGACCGAGAAAGTCGTACTTTTCTATTACGAACATACTTTCATCAAAAATGTCCGACTAGTTAATATTAACATCACAGGGTTGATGACCTGTGGGATATCCATCGACACCATCGCTGTTCGCCTATCGCCTTTTGTCCGTGGAGACCGTAAAGTCTGAGGGCAGCCACCGTGTAAATTTAATCTTACCGATATCTAGAGAAGTTCGAAGATTGCTCTAACAAGAAAAACTCAAAGGGAGGGCGAATCGGGTACATCGACTCATTCTTGAATCTCAAAAAGCAGGTAATCGCTGCTGGCGTTACCAACAGAAGGAGTAATTGTCGGCCTTTCCTAATGGAATCAGGTTTAAGATTTGGAGAAGCGCAAACTTTCTAACTGTTTATTGGAAAGGCTCGGAAGGCTTACACCAGTAAAAGAATCTACTCACTTGTACTTATCCAGTGAAACTTCCTTCTCGTCGGCGTCCTTCACCTTGAACTGATAGACATTGGTTGCTGCCATTGCGACACTTGAGAGTTGAAAAAAGCGGCGAGAAGTAACTGCAAGCATCCTTCCTGAGTAGGAACTGATAAGAACTACGCCAAAAACGAACACGAATTCGAGCAAAACCACTTTCCTGTAAACGAAATCAGGGTCGTAGGGTTAAAATATATCGACACGTAAAGTCAACAGTGGGTAAGTTTTAACATATTGCACTTCCGTGCAAGTATTTCAATTAACTAGTAGAAGAACTTGACAGAGTCTTTTCTCCAAGAAAAATCCCTGGTGTGGTAACGAAGCCGAGCCTGGGTGGCGGACAGAGGGTAAAGTGCGAGTCAAATAAGCCGGGAACATGAGCTGAAACATAGGGGAGTCAAGAGATCTCGTTACCAAAACGGTAGTGTAAGATGTGATGGGAAAGATCTGTCTTGCCCTTGACTTCAAAAAGCATAATTTCTGATGATTACTTTCCACTTTTCCACAAATTTACAGATCGCATGCCCTCGTTTTCAAAGTCCAGACGATCCTCTGATCTTCCCAGCGCCACACTTGCCTTTATCTGAATGGGAGCCTTAGGTATGACTGCTCAGAAGTCGTCGTTTCTAACAATATCCGTCGCGCCCGGCCAAGGGACCACAATGGAATCATTGTTTTGGAGGAGTGAAGCTGCGTTTAACGATTTCTGAAGTCAGACAAGAAGGCAAGAGCTCTAAGTACATCAGAGGTTAGCGTCCTAACCCTATTGCTTTCAGTCGAGCCCCATTTAGACAGAGCCTCAAACATTACACCATATACTACTGAAAACAAGTGTGAGGCACGACGACAGGGTTCACAGGGAAAGGTATGACAGCAGGATACAACGTTGTTGGAATGATACACAGTGGGACAAACTATTACACAACTATAAAGGTGCAGCTTGTAAAAGAAGTCGATAAGTTGGAGGAGCCACAACAGTATTCAACACAATGTTGAACACCACATTGAATAGACTTTATGAAAATCGCCCTCTAGAAGAGCGGAAAGCTCCCAAACTCGTTCATTTAGTTCATTGAAGTCTTCAGCCATATCAGCTTATCGGTAAATGTCGCCGTTGGGCCACAGATATCGTCTTCACTCGGAACTATCAGTTTATTCTCTACTATGCTGATGACTTGTGTGCGGCACGCAGTTACGCTTGATTAAATGACGTGCTAATTTATACAATCGCCCATCTTGAGTGAAGGGAAACCTGTCCCATTAGGAAGAACTGAGTTAAAAAAGAGCGAGTAAGTCCGTTCATCACTGCTTTTCCAAAGACAATTGAAGAGCAACAGTCTTTAAGCTGGACTGAGCGGTCAGAAGAAAAAGCGATACCCTCGCATCAGAGGAAATGAGGAATGAAAATAGGAAAAACACGGTTGGGAAGGGAACAAAAACAACATGTACTGGGTCAAACACCGGTGGAACAATCAATACCTATCGGCAGGGCGAGCTCAAACAAACAGGAATATGAATTGGCGCTCATTATTAAAACTGGAGTTTGGTCAACGTTATTGTAAAAATGCTTCTTTATCGTTGGCATCGGACTTCTTTTTTCGTTTATTAGTATTCTGTTCTCGAAAACTGAGTAGAAAGGAAGAAGGCCCTATACCTTCCAGGAGTGAGCACTATCACAGGAATGCCAATCCATACATAAGTTTCAGAAATGTCAGAAACGCTATATCAACAGGGAAAAGTAAAC